TTCATTGTATCAAAAAACTAAAAATAAATAATCATTTTAAATATTATTTTGTAAAATACATGTAAATATTTTTTAGAGAGGCAAAAAGCATATAATTCATGTAACTTTTTCCTCTAACTGTTCCCTCATTTAAAATATTTTTATTACTGCCCTAATTTTATATTTGTTCTCAATGAGGTATTTTCATAGTGCCTGTCACGTATTTTGATCATATCTACCCTGTGTCATTGTTTTTATTTCCTTACTTTTCTGGGTCCGTTTTTTCCATCTCTTCCAACAGATGTGTCAAATGCCCGTTAGTATTTTTCACACATTCTCATCAGATAATTTTCCCGTTGTTTTTCTTCTTAAAGACCTTTGTCCTGAATTCCTTTGTCTTCTTTGACCTCTAAGACTGATGATGTATAGCTATTGTTCTGACCTCTCCCTCTGTCTTTGCATGCCAAAGTCTATTTCTAGGATAATTTTTTCTATTTATTTACTTTTTTCAGCTTACACACATCCTCTAGCATAGTGATGGTGAACCTTTTAGAAACAGGTGCTCAAACTGCACCCCAAAACCCACTTATTTATTGCAAACAGTCAACACTGCAATTAAACATGAATAGTGATTTTAGTTTAGAAAAAGCTCATGCATTAACGTGTTGTCTTAAAAGAAAAGCCCAATATAGCAACCATTGTTAATTTTCTATTCTTGTTGTGAAGTTTTGTACCGTTTCTATTGTATGTTGCTTTGTTTCCCGAGGCTTATTTGTGCTCCTAGGATTTCTCAGTTTTTTTCTTATAGGCCTATTACACCTAAATCCCTTAGAGATATACTTGGTACAGTAAAGAGCAGTAACCTGACCTTAGAAGAAACAGAATCAAATCATTCAAAGAATGTCTTAAGGGGAAACAAATCCCCGTTGCTTTTCTTTTAAAGGTCTCTTCTAAGAACACGTATGTATCGCCATCCCCTGACCATAGTGCACCTCTCTGCTCAGTGCTGTGTGCTGCTTTACCTCTGCCTGATAAATCTATCTCTACCTTTCAGATGTGTCGTGAAGTTCTTTTTCTACAGAGACATTGATAAACCTACCCCCTGGTAGGGGTGTGGGAGAGTTGAGGCCCTCATCTCTTCTTGGGGACCATCTTAGACCTCAATCTGGTGATGATAGCAGTATAAAAAATGAAATTGTCTTTGTTCACAGTCAACATCATTATTTAAGTTGGATGTTCCAAAGAAGCTACAAAATAGGTTTTAGGATACAAAGTAAAGTCTGCGCATGGAGGCCCAAGCCTGTAATCCCAGCATTTGGGAGGCTGAGGCAGGATGACCCTTGTGCCTTTCAAGACCAGCTTGGGCCACAAAGTGAGCTCAAGGCCAGCCAGAACTGCATAGTGAGACCATGTCTCAAAAAGACAAAAAGAAAGAAAACAAAAAGTTAATATGCAAAGTGAGTGTGTTTCCATGTAATAATAGCAGTGAACAACTCTTAAACCAAGTTTTAAAAACCCAACAGACTCTAAAAAAAAGGATATGGTTATGGGGAGGGCAGTTTGGAATAATGGTATGGTTATTTCGTAGAAATTAAGAGCAGACTTAATAGCATGAATATCTTTTGTGTTAAGAAAGAAACTTGTTTTGCCTTTTTCCTTGTAAGCATCCCCAGTTCCAAAATACCAACAAACAAACAAACAAAAAAACTCCACGTTTTCTTATTCAAACAAGAACAATTATTTTCAAGGACTGGCCAGATAGCTCAGCAGACTAAAAATTGCAAAGTGCAGGGACCGGGGTTCAATCCCCAGCATGCCCTGCTGGCCGCACCCCCAGGGTGTACTGAGACAGTGAATGAGCCTGGGCATGGTGACTGGTGCCTGTAATCCTAGCACTTGGGAGGCTGAAAATAAGAGAATCGCTATGAGTCTGATCTACATAGTGAGACCCTGTGGAACCTGTAGACTCTATAGATCCTGTACCAAATACATTTAAAAAATTATTTTCATAACAGAAATCATGCTGCAGTTTCTCATGTCAGCTTGATTCAGCCAGGGGCAGCTAGATACAGATGTCAACAGAAGAATATGGCAAAACATAAAACATAAATATGGTAAAACATAAAAAGAAATTAAGTTTTATGGAAACTATGAGAGTCTTTTAAACAGTATACTACCATTTACATATATCACTTGTAGATAGCTTTCTAATATATATTGCTAGAAAATAAATAGAAATATTTGTAAATTTTGTGTGTTTATACTAATATTACCTTGCTGATTACTTAATTACTTTTTTAATGAAATTTTATTGGTACATTTTACGTATACATAATGATCACATTCATCATAGAGAATTTGTACCTGCATATGATATAACTTTATTTCTAATTTTTCCTTCTTTCACTTTTTAAAATTTTTCTTCCTCTCCCCTTATTTTCCCCTCCTCATTTGAAAGTTTTCTTCATATCTTACAATACCTAATACACATTTAGATTCTTATTTACACTTTTGATCTCTCACCGGAGAAACAATGCAGTGTTCACACATGTGTGTCTGCATCTGTTTACTAAAATATCTCAAGCTTACCTTCTTCATGGCAGAGTAGTACTCGCACGTGTGTGTGTGTGTGTGTGTGCGTGTGTGTGTGTCCCATATCTTCTTTATCCATTCACCAGTTGATGGGCATTTGGGCTACTTCCAAGATTTGGCTATTCCAAACTGCCCTCATGGGCATGCATCTGTTGCTGTGGTATGATGCTTTTAATTTGATCAATGAATACTTTAAATGGGTACTCCTTTTCTTCAGTTTAGATAGTGCTAATTACAGACTGCTCCTTTTTTTTTACTTTGCTATTTTGGGAGACATTGGTGGGGCCTTGGGGAGTGACTGGATCATGAATGTGTGATACTAGATTAGTCCTCCATTGGTTTAGCATGGTTCTGGGTGTGAATAATGGATTTACTAAAGAAGGACGACTACCCTGAATGTGGGTGGCACCAACCAGTAGACTTATAGTGTGGATGGAATAAAGAGGGAAAGAAGACAGTGTCCCTTCTGCCTGCTCACCTTGCAGTGACCTCATCTTCCTGCACTGTGCCCCTGTGCTGTGCCCTGAGTTGAAGCCAGCTGAGCATGCACCAAAGCCTGTACAAGCTGTGAGCCACAGTAAACCTTTCATCCTCTAACTCGTGGGTGTCGGGTATTGTGTCCCAGCAAGGAGAAAGTCACTAAAACAGAACCTCAGCCTCTTACAGTTGGTGGCATTTTTCCCTCAACCTATTTCCTACTGTTGCATCAGCAGAGCTCCAGTAGCAGCACTGTTTATCTTACCCATGATGAACATTACCTTTTTATTCCCACAGTGTGAAGATTGCTCCTGGAGCAGTCGTATGTGTAGAAAGTGAGATCAGAGGAGATGTAACTATAGGTAAGAAAATAATTTTTTAGTGTTGTTGCTCAAGAATTGATGTCATAATCTAGTGCTTTACATTGTATGTTAGTGCTTAACTCTTGTCTTCATGTCTGTTTCACTGATGCCCTGATTTTATTGACAAAACAGTGTATTTTCTCCTGTAAGTGTATAGTCTTTTTTTTTTACTCTTTCTTAAAAAAAGGCTAAATTTAAATTTCTATCTAAAACACGAGACAAAGGCATTCACATATTTGAGAGAGAGCTGCCATGTAGATACAAGTACCTATGCTAGAACACACACTGTTGACTCTAGGATCACAACAGTGAGCTTAACAGACAAAGGATATGCCACACACTGTTGACTCTAGGATCACAACAGTGAGTATAACAGACAAAGGACCAGGCTTTGTAGAGCTTACATTCCACTGAATGTTCATTATGAATGTGTACTATGGAATCCACAGCCCTGTATTACCTTGCTTCTTTACTCCTTACCTGCTGGGTTTCCCTGGACATGGTACTCAACCTCTCTGACATTTCTTTTCCCCAGTTGTGATTGTATGTCTCAGGATTGCATGTGGTGGTGACTTGAAAATACAACGTTTATTCTTACACATAAAAATTTTAGAAAGGATTTCAGGGATGATTTGTTGGTTGTCCAGCATGAGACAGGGAGGGATCTTGTATTAAGAACCACCTTGAATGAGAAAAGGGGGGAGTATGAGCAACAGGACATGTATTCAGTTGAGTTCAGCAGGACATGTGTTCAACTGGGGCCTGAGGCTGCATGTCACCTTCTAAATACCTTCCTGAAAGTTCACGCAACCCTTTTGTGTGTCTCATGACTAGGACTTGGTCTTAACACATGGAACTACGAAGGAAGCTGCAGCTGTCCACATTGTTGCCCTTAATAAATTCAGGCTGGGTTGTAGTACAATGAAAAAGAACATGGATATTAGATGGCACCTAACAGTTCCTGCCATTTGCAAAATAGTATCTACCTCCTAGGTTTATTACAAAAGAATGTGAAAATTATAACTGGTAAACTCTCTTGAAGTGTTAGCTATTGATAGAATAGCCTTGCTAGAAATCTTATCCAACATTTAGATCAGAGGAACAGTTTTGCATGTGACGTTAACATGGCTAAGTTCTTGAAACTCACATTTTCCTGCTCCATTCTTTTGTCTGCGTTTTCCCGGGATGTGGTGTCCTTACAGCGTCATTGGTATAAGCTCATCATCCTTCTCAACTGAGGCCTGAGGCTGCATGTTGCCTCAGGCTACCAGCATAGAGCTCTCAGTGAATCATTATACTTTCAGAGAGAAAGTACACCTTATTCCTTTACATTGTTTCTTTAGTAGGAAAAAAATGTGGCATCTTATATGTGACACTGTGCTGTTTTCTTTCTTTTAGACCTAAGCCTCCAATCAATTTAGGTATGTCTGATAAATCCATTGAAGATTGTGACAATATATGGAACTTTGTTAGGAATTTGCAAGGTTGGCCAGGCAAGGTGGCATGTGCCAGTAGTTCCGGATGTTCAGGAGATTGAGGCAGGAGAATCACAATTTCAAACCCACCCTTTCTCAAAAGAAAATTTGTTTTTGCTCGGTTGGTTTATTTTTTTTTTTATTTTTTTTTTAAATTTTTATGTGTGTGTGTGTGTGTGTGGCCAGCTCAGCCCACCAGGGGGCGGGGCTGGCTGGCATGTGGTGCTGGGGGATTGAACCGGGGTCCCTGTGCTTTGCTAAGCTTGTTCTAAGTAGGTGCTTTAGACCACTGAGCCATCTCACCAGCCCCCTGGTTGGTTTATTTTAAACTGACATAATTTAAAAATTTAGTAAATGGCCCTTTTTGCACAGCTGTGTAAATTTTTTGTTTTTAGTATTATACCTCTTAAAAACTGTTTGAGGGCCGGCCAAATGGCTCAGCAGATTAAAGTACCTGCAAGCAGGCACAGGGGCCAGGGTTTTGTTCCCCAGGCCTGCCATGCCAGCCCCGCCCCTGGGGTGAGCTGAGATGAGCGTGGTGGCACGCACCTGTAATCCCAGCTCTTGGGAGGCTGTAAACAAACAGATCACTATGAGTCCAATCTAGTAGTGAGACCCTGAACACCCTGTAAGACAAAAAAAAATACAAAATAAAAAAAAAAAAACCTTTTTGAGAAATCATGAGGGCTCCACTTATCAAAATACTATCCTACATTGTTTTTACACATTTTGCTACATTATGTTTATGGCTTTCATCGTCCTTTGAGGAATAGTCTCACTGTGGCACCAGGATGCTCTTACAATTAGAAGTAAGGGCTGGGGATACAACTCAGTAGCAAAGCGGTAGCTATGGTAGCAAATAAAAGGCCATCGGTGGAGCCAGGGAGATGGCTCGTGGAATAAGCGCTTCCCTGGCAAGCGCAAGGGCCTCAGTTCTATCCCCGAGCCATCGGTTTGATCCCATGGATCAGAGAAGAGCAAAGAGAAGGAAAAAGAAAAGAAAACTAATAACGTAGTACCAATCTGGCTTTCATTATCCCCCACCACCTTTGTTTTCCTTTTGTATTTCTGGTGACTGAACCCATGGCTATATATGCTAGTCAAGTACTCTACCACTTGGTTACATCCCTAGCCCTTTCTATTTTATTTTGAGACGAGATTTCACTGAGTTACCCAAATTTACCTCAATCTTGTGACCCTCTTACCTCACCCTCCTAATTAGCTGGGATTATAGGTATGTGCCACCCCAGCTAACCCACCCCTTTTTATATCCCAGTTATCTTCCTTCCTTCTCTAAATGTTGAAATCATGGAAGGAAATACAGTTTTTAAATCTGTTTTCATTCTGGTATTTGACCACTCAGAGTGCACAATTCTAATGGTTAACACACATGATATGGGTCTGGGGATATAGCTCAGTGGCACAAGCTCCTGCCTGGCAAGTGCTAGGTTCTGAGTTCAATTTCTTTTTTACCAGGGGAAAAAAGAATACATGGTATGATTGAAAATACAATGAATATTTAATTTTTTAAATGTATAATAGTAAAGGCACATTGACATTAATTCCTCTCAAGAAACTCTGTCTTCAGACACACTTATCCCGTCATTCTTGCCACTTTCTGAAACCATTCTGGAAGTCTTCGTGTATGAGTGTCTTTAGTTGCACTGTTGTGGCTGCATCAGTGGTCTGCATCAATTCAAAATGTTTGTTTTATGGTCATTTTGACTATGGGGGAGAATCAGAAGACACATGGGGCTAGATCTGGTGAATAAGGTGAATGAGAACACACTGTAAAGTTTTATAAGCCTGGCTTTCAGTTTGCATCATTGATCAGTTTGTAGAAACACAGATCACTTCCACAACTGCTCTTCCACAAATGCTCCAGAAAAGGCAGAAATGATGGATGTGTTCAAAGTAAGAGGAAATATTTTGAGGGAGAGTAATGATGGTGTATCTTTTACTATAATAATTTTAAACATTTAAATACATTTTTATTACACTTGAAATTATAATTCACACTGAACTACATCTCCCACCCTTTATTTTCTTTCTAATTTTAAAAAATCTTTAGACAAGGTCTCACTAAGTCACTGAGTTAGGCCTGTGTTGAAACTTTTGTCCTCCTACCTCAGTTCCCAGAGTGCTGAGATTACAGGCAAGTGTGAACATTTCCAGTCGATAAATTTTTTTTAAAAATCTATAGTGAATCAAAGTTTATGACAGAATGGGTTCAAGTTTTTTTGTTTGTTTTGCTTTTGCTTATATTTACACACAGGTATTGTTCTCTTTTGTGGTGTTGGGAATTGAACCTTGGGCCTTGTCATATACTTCACTATTGAAATACATCTCCAGCCCTGTGGAGTATTTATTTTTTACCTTTTTTTGAGACAGGGTCTTACTATGTGGTTCTGACTGGCCTTAAACTCACTGTATAACCCAGACTGGCTCATACTTATGGCAGTCCTCCTGTTCCAGCCTCTTGAGTGCTAGGATTACAGGTGTCCACCACCATGGCCAGTTTCTTCTTTTTTTTTTTTTGGTACTGGGGATTGAACTCAACAACAACAACCTTGTACTCATCAGGCAGGCACTGTGCCACTGAGCTATATCCCCCAAATTGTTAAAACAAAAAAATTTGCTCATATCATTCAAAAACAAATCAGTTTTAAAAATCGAGGATAAGGAACAGAAGAGTGATACAGTTACCCAGTGTTATGTCTTCCACAGTTCTTATCTTATTTATGTTGTGCATGTTTCTTATCTTTTGTTCTATACTCCAGATTCATGTTTTTAATTTTATATATAAATGTGGGAATTTTCCAGAATTGATATTTAGATAATCATTTCTGTCATTATTATATTTGACATAAATCATCTCTGATCTTTTGGCTGTTATTAACTTATTTTTCTGAACTAACACATCAGACTGATAACCTCTTGGGAGATAAAAAGTTAAAGCAAAGACTAAAGATAAGTTATTTGATTACAACTTTCTTCACCGTCTTATTTTTCATTTGAGATTTTATTGTTTCTGTTTTTTCTTAGGTTACCAAAGCAATTCAGTCTTTTTCTATAGTCCTATGGAGTTGGAGATTTGAACACTCAAACACTCTTTTCGGGGTTATGTAGCTGTAAATTTGCATGGAGTTTCATGGATTTTCTAGCATGTCTGTTGTTGTTTACAGTACTGGGGATCGAGCCTGGGGCCTCACACATATAAGGCTACCATGGAACTACATCCCCAGCCTTATTTTTGAAGGTGTTTTGTGTAACTTTCTATCTTGTAGTCATTTATTTTTTTTTCTTCTAGTCATTTATACTTTTATAAATTATTTCATTCTACAATATTTCAGGAAGAAATTAATTTTTTCTTTTGCTGTGTTTCAGGTCAATAGAACTTTAAACCTAATCTTTCCTAGAATGGCATAGATTTAGTTTGTCAGAGAGAAACTAGTTAAAAGCTTGGAAGTACAGTGCTTATCCAGGAGTGCTTTAACTCGAAGCTCTGTTGCAGCCTGACCTCCT